AGTATGATAAAATGAAATTATATCGTCTATTAATATCTATATATTTATTATATATCTTTCTAAGTATGATAATTAGTATTTAAAAGCACTTTATTATATATTTTATGTATATTAAAATTACTATTTTATATTTATAAATATTGAATTAATACTCATCGGTTCAACCAGTGATCCAGTCCCTGTGTCGAGTTCCTTATCGAGTCGAATTTAATAACTTTGATATGAACGGTGTAAAGAATAGCGGTTGCGGGTTACTCCTTCTCCGGAGAGCTCCCACATCTTTTAGTAGTTCCTCACTCAACCACCGCAGGACAATCCCAAACAGCTATCTCCACCAGTGCCACCACGACGACGACCACCACCACCACCATGCAATCCATAATCCAGCTAGGACAAGGTCGAGTTAGGAGTCAGGACTACTCCGCTGTAATTAGAGTGTAAATTTGACCTAGTCTTGGATTGCAATTGTTATGGTGTGATTGGGAACAGGTTTTGAAGGAGAAAAGCAATTGGTTTTTTTTTTTTTTTGGTTTTAAATGAAGGATTGTTGGTGGGGTTTAATTGATAATTGGCGAGGTTAATGGGCAAACTTGTCTTTTAATTGAAATTTTGCTCCGGCAGCTAATATTCTGCTCTGACAATATTGTCACCAGACACCAGCGGATGCTGTTGTACTCTTTGTTTGCGTGGTTGCTAAATCTATAGGCAACTAAACTCCAACTTTGTCATATCGTGTCATGTCATGTTTGTTGGTTGGTGAGTTAATTAATGCAAGTTGGTGATTATGGATGATTTTATCCTAAGCAACTTGTCATATTTATGCCAACTTGTTACAGAAGTGATACCCCCCCCGCCGGGGCTCTTTTTTTTTAAAACTTTTCTATAAAATTGTTTTTGTTCTGGCAAACGAACTACTTTATCTGCAAATGGCTTTGAAGTTGCAACCACTGTAAAATTGAGCATCACGAGGGTCAGCATCGTTTACCATGAACGAACAGCATTTCTTTCTTTTTAAAAAAAAAAAATTGTTTGCTTTTTATCTCACGAAGATACGTTTTTGCATCTGAAATCACTGATAACTAGTACTTTAGCTCGTGCATTCGCACATGATTTTTTTTCTTTGATTAATTATAAATCAATGCAAAGCTTGAATAATTTGAGAAAAAAATTATTAGTAATATTCCTACATATTTATTCTAAAAAATTTATCATAATCTAAATTTTAATTTTGAAAAAATTGTATGCAATCAATGTATCATAATGTAGTAATATTCATCAAATAGTACAATCCACGCAAAAGAAGTTAACAGTTTTTTTTTAACAAAACAGTTGGAGTTCTACAATGATTGTACATCTTTGAACTAGAAAAGATACGAATAAAACACACAAAATGCAACAATTCATTTTTTTCATGAACAAATCTTTGATTTTTAGCAATTAAAAATTCGTACGTAACAAATTAAACCGTACTAAGTATTATTCTTTTTAAAGGAAAAAAATTTTGTTAGAAGAGAGACAATTGAGAAGGGTTTGATACAAAAAAATGAGTAAAATCTAAATATCCTAATGACTCATCAATTCTCTTCACTTGCCTGCAAATCTTACTTCATCAAGGTGATGAGATGCTGAAAGGAGAAGGAGACAGTTTGGAAGCAACAATTAAAAGGGTTTCTTGAATGCAGATGGACATCAAAATCCCTATTGTATTGTGTGTATTCCAGTGATGGTGGAAATTTTGATTCATAGAAGGGCTGATAAGGCCCGTCCATATATTACTTCACAAAGTTCAGAAGTTACAGGACATGTTAAGATGAAAACAATTGGGCAACGATTTCTTGTTTTTCTTTTGGGATCCGGAAATAGTACGTGAAGAACGGGACGTCAAATTAGCTGGTTTACTCCATCCCTGCTGCATAAGTGAGCCTAGGGTTTTAAACGAGTCGAGTCGAGTCGAATTTTGGACTTATCGAGCCGAGCTCGACTTAATAACAGGTAAGTTCGAGTTCAAACTCGAGCTCGACGAATCAAGAGAATTGAGCTCGAGTTCGACTCAACTAAGGAAAAGCCAGGCTCGAAATCGAGTCGATAAGCCTCGCGAGCTGTAGCTCGATTTCTGACTCGCGAGCAGCTCGAATTGTCAGCTCGCAATGTAAACTCAAATTTCTGACTCATAAGCAGTTCATTAGCTCGAGTTCGTTAGTTCGTAATGCAATATTTTGAGCTCGAGTTCGAACTCAAATTCAGTTTGGCCAACTCAAGCTTGACTCGAGTTCGATATTGATCGAAGCGAGCGGGTTGATTCGTTTGCAGCCCTAAGTGAGCCTGACAATGACACAAGGAAAAGCCTCAATTCTTATGTGTTATGTCCCTGTCCAGACTGGAGCTGGGATATCTTATTTGCTTTGAAGAATTAATTTGTATGTCGTTATAAATTAGAGGTTGTGTTGGACATAAGCTATTTATGAGCATTATGAATCTTGATCTAAATGACTGTGGATTATTAAAGTACTATGTCATCTTGATAGTTTTGATTTTTTTTATAAGGAAAACTAGCTAATTTTATTAAAAGAATAAATTTAACTTACCATTTTTTGAAATACCCTTACAATTGTTGTGGGACTTGTGGCTTTTGATATGCCAATACATCTCACTAAATTAAATGTTACATCTCATCCAACGCTGGCAGTGTAGTACTGTTAGGGTAGAAAAGATTAATCCTATAATTAAATAAGATAGTTATATTCATTGATAACAACATACATTACATAAGGGGTGTATTTTAGAGATTTAAAAGTTAAGTATATTCTTTAATGAAAAAGGGACTATAATTTGTGTAAGATGAAAGGCAAATATCAAATTTTTTTTAAATAATATTTTACTTGCATCATAAATAAATTTCTCAATCTATCTTTTTATATTTTTAACCACCTTTTTTATCTCACATACATCATATTATAAAGAATGTTACAGTAATTATTTCAAGGGATAATATCAGAAACCTCCCCTGAGGTTTCTTGAAATATCACTAAGCTCCCTCCACATTTTGGAAATCTCTCTTACCACCCCTCAAGTGATTGTGGGGTCAGAAGTCACTAGTTGACTTCATCAGTTGCCAATAATACCCTTGTTTCTGCTGTTACCTTATTCAGCTTATAAAAGGAAAAAAATTTAAAGTAAAGAAATTAAAACAATTAAATATTTTACGCTTAAAGCTTTTTGGGGATATTTTACTCTCAAACATTCAATTTATAATAAATATATAAATGTTTTTAAGTAAAATTCAAAAAGTGTTACAGTAATTTCTTACGAAAAAAACTAGTAGGTTATCTATTTAATATAAATTAAATATTTTTTAAAAAGAAATATCCCATAAAGTACCAACTCTTTATGGCTTTTCTCTATTACATGAACCAAGTATCAGGTTTTAATGGGTATTTTATTCTGAATCATTTAAGTTATGTTAAATATATAAATATTTGCAAATAAAATTCAAAAATCATTACACAAATATTTTTACAGAAATAGCAGTAACTCCCTTAAATATAAATGAAGTATTTGAAAGTAAAAAAAAATTGTCCATAACATACCAGTTCTTTACGAGTTTCTTCTATTAAATGAATAAAGTACTAGCTATTTATGAGTATTTTACTTTGAATCATTTAATTTATATTAAATACATAAATGTTTATAAGTGAAATTCAAAAAGTGTTACACTAATATTATTACGAAAGGAAAACTAGTAGGTTTTGTATTTAACATAAATTAAATACGTGAAAGTAAAAAAAGAAATTAACCACTTCTTACTAGCTCTTTACGGGTTTCTTCTATTACATGAATAAAGTACTACTTATTTATAGGCATTTTACTCCGAACCATATAATTTATGTTAAATACATAAATGTTTGTAAGTAAAATTTAAAAAGTGATATACTAATATTTTTACGAAAGGAAACTAGTAGGTTTTGTATTTAGCATAAATTAAATACGTGAAAGTAAAAATAATAAAAAAAGAAATTGCCCATAACATATCAGCTCTTTATAGGTTTCCTCTATTACACGAACAAAGTAATAGCTATTTATGAGCATTTTATTCTGAATCATTTAATTTATATTAAATATACAAATGGTTGTAAGTAAAATTCAAAAAGTATTACACTCATATTTTTACGAAAGGGAAACTGATAGGTTTTGTATTTAATATAAATTAATTATGTGAAAGTAATACTCGTAGGTAATTTAATTAGTTACTTAATTAAATGCATCCATTTCATAAACCCTAAAGGATGAGTTTAATTAGTTTAATTGTATGAGTGTCCTAATTAAAGGATGAACTAGCCATTTCTTTGCCCAGTTACCTCTCCATCTGCGCAGCTATTTCAAGCGGTAGTTTCACCTTTTAAAGGAGAAACTGGAAGCACTCAAAGTACTCGTTGCATGTCCAACGGTCAGTGCTCATGTCAGAAAAATACTCTCCAATTCACATTTTCCACCTACTGCAACTTTCTTATGTCACTGTATCAGTCAACCTAAGGGTATGAAGGGAACTAAAATACTCTCCCTCCTCCAAAATGCATTTTCTATTGTTACTTTTGCTTAGAGGGGCTGACATTGTTAAGAAAATGTCAATTCAAAGGGTGGTAAGAGAGATTTCCAAAATGTGGGGGGAGCTTAGTGATATTTCAAGAAACCTCAGGGGAGGTTTCTGATATTATCCCTTATTTCAAATAATACTTTATCCGAACAAATGTGGGATGGAGGGAGTATGTAAATTTGTGATTGAAAAAAAGCACTTAGATTATGTTTAACAAATTTGCCAAAAAAGGCAATACATGCTGATTATATTCGAACATTCCACCTTTTTGGACCGGAAAGAGAAGGGATATGGGCATTTATTGAGGATCGTTTGGAGGATGAGCAGTAATGACATCTCTGAAAGCTGTCCAATACTGACACTTGGATTGATTATTTGTTGAAGATGATGATGATGATGATGATGATGATGATACCGATACTTGGACACTTGGATTGATGATGATAAGGAAAGGATAAATACTCCTATACAAGATTGTCGAAAATTCGATTAAGTAAGAGATCAGAAATGGAACTCCAACGAGTCCTGCATATGAGTGGAGGCGAAGGCGACACAAGCTACGCCAAAAATTCATCCTACCAGGTCTGTCTGTCCCTCTTTGACAAACACACACACAAACGCGCAGTCACAGGAGTGGTAACACAAGACTGTGATACGCTGATCTCTAACATAGTGTACCCTTTTTTTTGCTTAACTTTTTTTTTTTTTTTTTTGAGTGGTGTATGTAGAAGTTGGTACTGACCAAGGTGAAGCCAGTACTTGAACAATGCATACAAGAATTGTTGCGGACCAACTTACCCTACAACAAGAAGTGCATTAGAGTTGCTGATTTGGGATGCTCTTCAGGACCAAACACACTATTAACAGTTTCGGACATCATACAAAGTATTGACAAAGTTAGCCAGGAAATGGACAATGAATTTGCACTGCCCACGATTCAGGTTTTTCTAAATGATCTTTTCGAAAATGATTTCAATACTGTTATCATGTGTAAAGGAGACGAATTCGACGGCCCAAGTATCTTAGACTTACTTGAGATGGCAATAAACGACTTGGTTGTCGAGGTCTTAATTTCTCTTTCCCTTTGATCATCAGATGCTTGTGATAGGAAATAAACTACTAATAAATAGCTATCTAGCTTGCTTATTCAGAGTTCCTACCTTAGCTAATAATAATAATAAAAAAAAAGGGGGATGCAAATTTATTCTCTGTAACCTCGATAGATAAACTTTGTGTAGACAAAGTTCCACTCTATATCTGAATTGACTTGATGATTGGCATATCCACAGGGACGTCTGGAGGAAGAAAAACTGGACAGTTTCAATGTTCCAATCTATACGCCTTCAGTAGAAGAAGTCAGGCACATAATTGAGGAGGAAGGTTCTTTTGAAATTGTATGCCTGGAGACGTTTAAGCTCCGTCATGATGCTGGCTTCTCCATTGATGATAACCAGTTAGGATCCCATTCCCAGGTACACTTCTGCGATGAACATGTTAGAGCAGCCCATGTGGCATCAATGGTTAGAGCAGTTTCCGAACCTATCCTAGCAAGCCATTTTGGAGAAGCTATTATACCCGACTTATTCCACAGGTTTGCCAAGAATGCAGCAAAGCTTCTCCCATAGGCAAAGGCTTCTTTAATAATCTCATCATTTCTCTCGCCAAGAAACCACACAAGTCAGACATGTAAATGTTTGTTTTTAGATATGTAGTACCAAGATGATTTCAAATGTGGCTGTCATTACAGTTTAGCTCGTAAAGTTTTTTTGAAGCAAAAGTTCGCAGATTTAATCTTTTCAAGTGGATACGTATCACAGGATCATCCTGACAGCGAAGCACGAGCTAATTGATAAAATGTTTCATCTACAATCGTGAGATCATTAGACTAATGTTTGCTGATTCAAGTCAAACTGACATATTACGTGATACATATAAAAATATCACATTTTTTATGCCACTTAATAAATTAATGAACATGTATATGGAAAATTCTTCACTATACTTGATATGTTTACGTCTCTTTTGAATTTTGTGGTCAATCAAGCGTCGAGGGCATCATTGTAATATTATATTACATCACATTTTTTTTAATTGTTAATGTCATTTAATATTATAATGATGATTTGGATTTTGAACACTTGAAGGATCACAAGGGTAACATGCCAGCCTATGAACCAGATCCATCGAGGAATTTGCAAAATATGAGCCACACTTTTGGACTTTGGACGTTATGGGCATCGGTTCAGCATATACCTGGCAATTGGGCGGGTTGGGCGGTTTTTGGGCGGATTGATATTGGGTTTTCATTTAAATGGGTGACACCCAATCCGCCCAACTTTAGATTGGGTTAATTTTGGGTTGGGTCATCTTAAACCCATGACCCAAATATGACCCAATATATTAATTAATAGATTTTGATACATAAACTCTCTCAAATACATTTTCACATACAAAAAAAAAAATTTCACACACATAAACACATTTTGACATAGATAGACATATGTTTACACACTAAAACACTCATAGACACACACACACTCACTTCTTAAACTCTTTTGAAATACGTTATTTTTACATATACAAATTACAATACACACTAATATACTTTCACAAATACACACACATACTAACTATTTAAACTACTTGGGTGAACTCACTATTTTTTATACAAGTAAGGATTTTCAAATTGGGTATAGTTTTGGTCCAAACTAAGAGATCGAAGCAACAATTTTGGGTGGAACAAAACTAAGAGATCTCGATGAAGTGATCAATAAATAGGGGGGGACTTGTTTTTTCATTTTGAATGAAAAAAAAAAAGAAATAGAAGAACAGTAGGATGCATTTTTCCGGAACTTGGCAAAAGGATGGATGTGAAGAGCGAAGAGGACAAGGATTTTCTTTTTTCTTTTCTTTTTTTTTTTAAAAAAAAAATCCTACTGACATTAGTGCTGCACCGTTCATTTCTCAATTTTTGTTCTTTTTAAGCATTACTCGTTGATCATCCTACTCAGTGTGTAGAAGTAGTATATATATGATAATTATACATATCAGTACATATATGGGTTTTGCTTGATCCAACAAGGCTGGTCATTTTTTTTTTGTTTCTTGATTTTAATTTGTTAATTTATTTTTTTAACTTAAGTTGGGTAATGGGTGCCCAACACAAATACCCAAACCACCCAAAATATATATGGGTTTTTATTACTCAACCCAAAATTAACCCAAAACCCAACTTACCCAACCCAACCTCTCAAATTAGTGGGTGGGTTGGGTGGGTTGTTGGGTTTTGGATATAATTGCCAGCTCTAGTTCAGCATAATTGTTATTTAATTGGGCTCTAGAAAAACCGAGTTGGGTTTGTCTGCCTTAGGATTTAGATGTCGGAACCCAAACATGACCAGTTAAAGCTCAACCCAACTGTTTGGGCCCCGTACATTCAAGATAACATGCACGAATCAGGATGTGCTCCGACTTGAAGCCCGTCCAAGCTCACTTAACGCTGAAATCCAAATTACGAGAACTACAACATCGTAATTATATGTAAATGTAGAAAGCGAAATAAATAGGGAAATTACAAATGACATGTAATAGATCGTTCAATTGAGAATTGCCTTCTCTTTATGGTAAATTGGTAATAGGTTATCACTGGAGTAGCATCTTATTATTTTCGTCACTTCTCAACTCTCACCATGCTCTTTCCATCCAATTGTCAAGTTCAAAATTCAAACCTTGAATTTGACAGTAGTGAAAACGTTCTCTTTTGATTATTGAACCAACTCTGACGATAAATATATATGTGAGAACCCTGAAAATATATATACAAATATCATTGCATATTTTATTTGCACTTCTAATTCTTTAATAAATTTTAGCATTTAATCTAATTGTTTTTAAATAAGTGCGTAAAAATAATTTTTTATGTGCATAATAATATAATTTGTGCTAAACTATTAAATTCCTTGGCTTTATTATATTAAATTAATATTTCGAAGGTAAAATTATTTCGTTTAGTTAATAATTAATTCTTCCAAATTTCGATAGCTAAACTTTAATCGTTAATAATGATAAAGGTTAATAGAAACCTTAGTATTAAGATGCAATCAACAAATTATAGATAAACATGACACAAATTACTAAACATACTTAAGACATGAAATTACGATAATTGAAGCCTTGCAAGATTAGTGTATTATTAGGAGCTTAATTTATATTCAAAATAAATTTTTGGAGATAAGTTAGAATTAAGGACTTAAGTGGGTATCAGGAAGAGAAGTGCAAAGACTAAACTACCCTCACAACCTCACAAAAACTACCATGCAAAACAAGAACCAATTTCCGGACAACATCATTCCTCACCACTCTTTCGGCCAATGCACAACTTCACCATCTAAACACTCAACCCTCACAAACACTCAACCTCCCTCTCAAAACCGCGGCATCCATCCTTCTTCCTCTTCATTTCTGTATCACAAACCACCACCGCATTCCACCTTCACCCGTGAGTATCGACAGAGAGAGAGAGAGAGAGCGGGAGGGTGAGCAGCAGCTTCATCCGAGAGCTGCAATCCGTGAGCTGCAGCGACTCTGCTGCTGTCCGTAAGTCTGAGGAAGGAAAGGAAAAGCTGTGCGTAAGTCCTACCCATTCTGCACTTCCATTTCTACCAGCTGCAATCAATTTTCCAGCCGCAACAACCACCAGCTCCACTGTCTGCCACAGCCAAGCGAACCAACACCCTAGTCGCGCGCGAGTCGAGGGCGAAAATTTCAGTTCCCTTGTGCGTAAGCTAAGCCTGCTGTTGAGGTAAATTTTGGATCTAGAACACCTGATTAGAGGTTGATTGAGCTAATTAGGAGCATGCATGTTGAATTTATGCGTTGGATGATGATCTAGAAAAGAAAAGAAACCTGATGTGCGCTGAATGTGGGTTTGCCGAGACTGTTTTGGATTAATGCCGAGCTAATCTGTGTAACTCTGGATAATCTGAGTTTGCATTGTTGATTAAGTAACTAATCACTAACTAATTAAACTGTTTAAAGCTTTGCATGTTGACCTTAGACCATCGGATGCTGAATTTAGAGAAGAAGAAAAAAAATTTTCTGATGTGCGCACATTTGGACTGCCGAGACTGATTAAGAAATGCTGTGCGTAATTTGTTTAATTTCGACAATCTGAGGTTATAATCCTAATTGTCCAAGTGAAGATAAAATGTTTAAGGACATGCATGTTGAGTTATGCGATTGGACGATGGAATTAGGAACTTGGGAAAATTCTGATTTAGTTAAATGGAATTTTTGTGAACCAGAAATCTGAAATGCAGTTGTAATCTGCTTAAATTTGATAATCTGAGCATGTATTGGTGATTATCCGACTAATCACTAGGTGATTAACCTGGCTATGGCTTGCATGTTAGTTTTGAGTACAAAATACAAAGATTTAGCCGAGGAAAAATCCAGATTAATGACCAACCAAGTGCTAGAATTTTGAATATACAAATTTTGATAAGAGGTTGCTGGAAATTTCTCAGCTTCATCCGAGAACAATAAATGAAGAACTACCAGCTTCCTATTGTGAATTTTAGTTCTAAAATTCTGTATTAAGCTGTAAAATATTGTATAATGTCTTGATTTCATCCTGCATGAAAGACTTGTATTTAATCTGAGGGGATTATTGGAGAAAAGTTGTGTTTTAAAACTGGTTGCTGTTAGAGTTGAAAACATGGCTGAGGAAGAGGATTAGAACCTGGACCAGCTTTGCCCTTCGACTTCCTTGGCCGTAAACTTTATATATCACTGCTAAAGATACTCTGTAGCTTAATAACCATCCTCTGCATGTCAAGTCAGTGTTAACAAAGGAGAAATTAAGGAAGTAATCGTACGTTGAATTGCCAATTGATGACCGTCATACTTAGCTGATGACAGATTAGTATATATATGATTTCTTGGCTGAACCATTTACTGGAATTAAGCGTTATTTGCCTTGGTAGATGCTGGTATGAATTTCATACTTAGATGTATGGATGGTTTGAATAAAAGTTTTATGGTTTAAAAGAGAAAAAGGAGTTTTTCACAATTGAAAAATGAGTTTCCAGATTTTCGGAGTTCACTGACCAGTCTCAGTAAAATGCTTATCTCTTGGTGTAGAAAAATCCGATTGAGGTGCCGTCAGTGGCATTTGAAACTAGAATCATGGGCCTTTGTTCTGTAAAAATTTCATATTTTTCCTCCATGTGTACTGCTGTCCGTGACTCCTCAAAGTAGGCTGTCTTGCTTCAATGTCCTGTTTTTTCAGGGAAATAAATTTTGACTTGGAGCGAATATTTGGCCTATTTGTGATTTGAATTTCTGAATTTCAAGTGAAGCTTACATGCTAAAATTGTCTTGTGTGTGAATGACATTGAGCCTAGTGAAAGGCTATTGCGGTAATATGAATTTCTAGAGTTATTTAAGAGTTAAGTTAGCCGTGACTTTCCTCTTTGTTTTGAGTTGAATTTCTGGTTGAATTGTGGTTGGAAGTGATTGATTGTTGTCAAGAGCTAATGATTGATAAAGCTCTTGGCCATTTGAGTAATTTTTGCAAGGGTTAAATTCTTGGTGGAATTGTTTAAGTGGTTTGGCCAAAATGCATTTGGAAGGTCCACGATTTGTGATTTGGAATTGTTTTAATACTTTGGACTTCCTTTGGTGGATTTTGATTAGAATTGAATCTGTTGAGACTTAGGGCTAATGATTGATGAAACCCTAGTGAAATTGATGTTTGAATTGTGTTTTTGCTATAGTGGCGACTTGGAATATAATGTGCAAATGAATTGGAATCGTGAAGTCCGTTTTGATCCCTTGAATTCGAATACTTTTAAATCAAGCTTTGTGGG